GGTGTATCCATATAAATGGCCCACCCTGTACTTCACACTCATTCGTTACAGAGTGTTTGGCACAGCCGACCAACACCACAGATATTCAAGAGCAGACGACGTGGAGTCCCCACAGAAGAAGAAGATTCTTGGAGATGGTCCAAATCAGGATTCAGTCACTGGCAGCAAATATGACAAGATGGCAGCTCCATCAGTGCTGTCATAGATCTGATGTTACACACACGTTTCATTACATCAGTTCTTCTTTCCAATGACCAACAGGGGGCCCACTCCTCTGGCTGGTATATAGATCTGGTTGCATAGAAGTGTATGGTAAAATGTCTGTAAATGAAAAAGTGCTGCTCCACAGTTTTGGAGCTTCAGTAGATTAAAGCATATCTAAAGATGGACACTCACATCCAATCTGGTCTGAAGGATGAACATCGTGAGGTTCCACAGTCAAAGAGTACAAAACTCACATAGACCAAGAACACTAGAAACTTTATGCTTGACAGAGCTTTGTGTGTTCTGTCTGTAGCTGCCCATATTCACTATATTTTCCACTTGTCTCCATCGTCTGAACTGTAATACACGCTGTCAGTCACTGGACACCACATATACATGAATAACAGAGAATAAAGAACCATCCAATACACTTTTTATCACATTAAATGCTTACATTAGAACACCCTTTCACGCACTCTTTACCCCACAATATTCAACTTGTTCCAAATATCACCAAATCATCATGTTCAGCACGCCGGCAGTAAGGACTAATGTGAAATATCAGAGCAGTCGCAGGTGTCAGAGAACGAGTGTGTAGATGAAGTGAAAAGAAAATCAATACACAACTGTTTAAAAACATTGCATCCGTACGGGAAATGCTGTTCTCAGTGATCGAGGTGTCTCACTGTATTTTAAGATCGAGGTCCAACATCTCTAAAGTTAGAAATATCCTGTCTCAGAGCTGAAAAACTAGTTCATGCATTTATTACTTCCAGGCTGGACGACTGTAATTCATTATTATCAGGA